GTGTGTGTCAGTGTGAGTGTGTGTGAGTGAGTGTGTGTCAGTGTGTGTGAGTGTGAGTGTGTGTGAGTGTGTGTCAGTGTGAGTGTGTGTGAGTGTAAGTGTGTGTCAGTGTGTGTGAGTGTGTGAGTGTGAGTGTGTGTGTGTCAGTGTGAGTGTGAGTGTGTGTGAGTGTGAGTGGTTCCAGAGAGAAGGCAGCAAATATCTCTTTCTGTCTTGCTCCCCCTTGGGTCTGCCTAGACATCATGTCAAGTAGCAGTGGGAGTTGAGTTGAACAAGTGTGAGATTCTATGTGTCTTAGCTCATGAGTTGCCTTGGGTGGTCAGATGGATAACTTATCTATGCAAACAGTTTTTCAATCCGAGAGGGCTTCTTGGAGGAGGAAGCCTCACCTCCCTGCAGTTTGCAGCACGGTGTGCGCACCTGCTCTCCAGGCACGCGTGAGCTGGGACCAGGCCCTCCCAGCCTCGCTGTTCTTGCGGGGTCCCGGTTCCATCTGCCTTTATGTCTAGCTCTGACTCTACCTGGATGCCCCAAGTGGGCACCCCTTTCCCCACTGAACCCGGCACTTCCCGAAGCAGAAGCCCCCAGGAGCCTGGGGTGGGGCCCTTGCCGGGAGGCTGGCGAGGCGCCACTCACTTGTTCTTGAAGTCCTCCACCACGTCCTGCATGTTCTTCAGCTCCATCTCCAGCCTCGACCGCTCGCCCCCCAGGCAGTCCAGCTGGCGCCGCAGGCTGTTGATGTAGGTCTCAAACATGGGCTCCAGGTTGGTTTTGGTGATTTTATGCTCCTGCAGCAGGTTCCACTTGGTCTCCAGAACCTTGTTCTGTTGCTCCAGGAAACGCACCTGCCCAGATCAGAGATGGGAGACCATGAGGACTCTCATGCTACAGCTCCCCCGGGGGCTCAGGGCTCAGGGGCCCTGCAGGAGCTGGGCATCTAGGAGGCTCTTCTCCCTCCTTGGCCAAGGAGCCTGAATACAGAGAATTAAGAGATAGGCAGTGGTGGGGGACGAAGGTGGCTGGAGGATCTGGAAGCATCTGAACATGCCCGGCCATACTGACGAGAGGGGGCTGAAGAAAGGATCATTTCACCATCACAGTTGTAGATGAAATTTTGATCCCCATTAAATGACAAGATAGTCTTTGCAAAATATTCAATCTGTCCTTTTTCTTTCTGACCTTTCTCTAGACTCGGAACCTGGGTATAGTTGCCCACGCACTCCAGGGATGCCCGGATGGTCACCAGCGGTCACAGGGACCTGGCACCACCCCAACTCGTCCCTCGCCAGCTGTGCAGTTGGGCAGGTGCCTTCTCTTCTCGCTTGGGCTCCTTGTGGCCTTGAGCTACTAATTCAGTTTTCTGGGATTACAGTCAGTTTCTCTGCAGCTGGGCGCAGCCTCGGGGTATGCAAAGCCCCCCTCACCCTCCCATCAGGATCAGGAGCAGCTGAAGGGTGACACCCAGAGGGGAAGCTGGAGATGGGGGGGGGCACCTCAGCTGTTGTCAGAGGCACGTGGTGGGCCAAGAGCCCAGTTCCCTCCGGTAGTCGCAACCCCTTGCTCCCTGTGTCTCCTCCAGATGAGCCAAAGCAAAGTGGGCTCCTCAACCTTCCCCCCAGATCCTGGCACCTGGAGACCGGACACCTGTGGCTGCACCCACACTAAGTGCAGAGACATGGGTGGCGGAGCTGGAAAGCACCGCCTTGGGCCAGGCTCGCTCAGCCACCAGGCCCTGCCCAGGGCTCCCGGGCTGCGGGGAGCGGGGTTTCCCTGCACAGGGGCCTGACAGTCCGTCTGTCCAACTCTCCTGAGCCCGTGTTCACATCTGATGCTGTCTGGACCTTGTTGCCATGGTAACCAGAGCAGGCACAAGCCCTGGCACAGAGCTCGGCCTCAGGCCCTGGCCTCTAACTGCCCACCGAGGCTGCGTGCTTCACCCACGGGCCCCCCGAGGCAGAGGGAAAGGGAGCCTTGCTGGTGGCTCTCTGTTCAGCGCTCTTTCTTCCAGATCTCAGGGAGGGGACCTCCACTGCCCAGGTCCTTGGGGTGCTTCTTCCTGGGCAAAACAGCCAGTCACATGTGAGCCAGGCCAGAGCTGCTTCTCTCCCCTGAACTGGGGAGACCCCCAGACACACACCTGGGGTCCCGGGCTGACGTCACCGCTTTCCACTCACCAAAGGAAAGTGTGGGATGCGGAGCTCCCCCTGCTCCCCAGACAGACCCAGATGGCCCATGAGGCTGCACCCCGGGACTTCCCGATGGAAGGCGGGAAAAGGTGGGCCCCGCCCGCTTCTGTGAACCCAGCTTGTTAGCTTTCATGCCTTTGCCCCCTGAGCTCCCGCCGGACCCCGTGAGGAGTCTGATTTCAAGCCCGTGTGCGGTCACTGCATCCGCAGGGCCACGCCCCGGCAAGGGCCAAGCAGCGCTGGGCTCTGGAGGTGGGTGTTTTCTGCTTGCACCTCAATAAGGTGGAAACCACCCACTGCTCGCCCCATCACCTTTCTTCCCAGCCCCCCGGGTCCCAAATCCTGGGCAAGTCCCTGGAACCTCAAAAAGGCGCAGAAAGCAGTGAGCCCCTGGGAGGCAGCTGCTTTCTCGGGAGGGACCCCACCTGCCCCTCACCTTGTCGATGAAGGAGGCGAACTTGTTGTTGAGGGTCTTGATCTGCTCCTTCTCCTCCTTCCTCACCCGCTGGAGAGAGGGATCGATCTCCAGGTGGAGGGGCGTGAGGAGGCTCTGGTTGACCGTGACCTCGTGGATGCCCCCAGCTCCGGGCATCATCATCCCACCTCCAAATCCATACCCGCCGCCGATGCCCCCCATCCTGCCAGCACCCAACCCATAGCCAGAGCCCCCAAAGCCGGCCTGGCTAGAGCGGTAGCCCCCGCTGATGGAGATCCTGTTGCTGCTACCCCCGAGGCTGTGAAGGCTTCTGGTCCCGAAGCCGCTCCCGAAGCCGCATCCGAAACTCTTCCCGCCCTGGGACACCGAGAACGAGCTGAAGCTGGGCCGGCAGCTGGCCGAGGAGGCGCTGAAGGTCCGAGAGCCGCCTGACTTGACGGTGACACAGGATCGCTGGGTCATGGTGAGAGCGAGTGCCCGAGGGTCAGAGGAGCGAGCGTGTCGACGGAGCAGCCTTCAAAGCCTGCTCTCCCCAAGGCTTCTAGACTTTTATCCCTTTCCAGAACTGGGCTTGGCTGGACAAGATCAAAGACCCTCTGTTGAGTTCACCTCAATGGCATGTCTGGCCACAGCCCGCTTCCCTGCCCGCTAATCATCGCGGGAACACCCTCGTCAGGGCGGGACCAGGCCGGAGAGTCCAGTCGGGGGCGGACGTGGTCCTGCGCCCCCCACCCAGGTGCGCGGCCGCTTGCCTGGACACTCCCACGGCTACTTCTCTGCCTCTTTGTCCTTGGTTCCGAGGCCCTGGGCCCTGGACGAGGGCCTTCCCGTCACGGTCACTTAGAAAAGCCCCCATTTGTTGAGGACTCAGCCAGGGCCCGACCGTGTGGCTGCAGGTGGCAGCGAATACTGTCATTCGAGCCCTCTACTACCACTGCGGGGCAGGGAGGGGGCCATTGTCCACTTTCGCTGACCAGCTACTCTGTTGGCTGCTCTCTGTCTTCTTGCTGGGCATCCTTCCCCTTAACATTCTCACTTAGTGACGAGCCCCGCTGGGTCTCAGTATCGCTCTTGTTCTGTGGTCGAAGTCACTGAGGCAGAGCGTGGGTAAGAAACTCTGGGAGGTCACAGGGCCGGCGAGTACTGGGGCTGCGTGGGGACCGGGGTGGGGCTGCAGGTCACCTGCTGGCCCCTCTCTCACACTGCTGTCTGGCTTCACTCCAAACTCCCGTCCCCCTTCTCCTCTGATCCCAGGGTCCCCACTGCTTCCCCCCGCCCCCGCCCCAGGGACATTTGACGATTTGACGTCTGTCCTCAGGGTTGTTTCTCTCCTCCCGGCCCGCCCGGCCCCTCCTGAGTTGCACTGACGTCTTGCCCAGGTTCTCGGGTCTCTCCCTCCTCTTAACCTCCTGCCCCCTCACCCCGATGACCGACCTCAGATCTGAGGTTCAGAGCTTCCATCCGTCTGAGCTTGACCCTGGGCATGGCAGCCGCTTCCTCCCAAGCCCACACGAGTCCCCCCACACTGGGGGGCACCAGCCCCCCGGCCCGATGGGAGGGGCCCAGGAGGCCTGTAAACTCAGGAATGTGGGAGCTTCCTGGTGTCTCACTGCTGCCTGCAATTATGGGCCTAGACGGCTCTTCTGCCTGGTGAAAGCAGTACCCCCAGGGCTGACTTTTAACTCCTCTCCTGGCCTGTTATTTCTGGGCTCAGGTCTGCAAGTTTGAAGCTGTCAGGGAACAATCAACCCTTTCTGGCGGAGGGCTGGGCTGCCCCCCTATGTCAGCGTCCTTGGAACACAGCCTGCTTGGGGAGGGGTCAGCAGCACCTGCATGGCACAGAGTGGGCAGAGCTGCTGCCCAGGGGCTTGGGCTTCTGAACAAGGCACCCCAAAGAGGCAGGCGGATGCAGCCAGCGAGGGAGGGCTGGTGGGAGCAGAGCGCTCTCTGGGTCCCTCCCAGCCCCCAGTGTGGCCTTCTGAGCTCCGAGGAGAGGTGTGTGGGGTCGGGGTGGGGGCGGCTGGATGGGCTCTCGGCAGGGCTGAGTGCGGCCCGGTGCTGGGAGGAGGCTGGACGGGGAGAGTCCCTGTGTGCATCGCCATTCCAGAACACCGAATGCATGACACGTGCATTTAATAGACACCACCAGGGAGGGAGGAGAGGGGCCTTCGCTCCCAGCAGGCCGCTTCTAAGCACCGTGAGACGGGGGTGTTGGGGGCCAACAACGGCTGAGAAGGTCTGGGAGACGCAGTCACCCCAGCTCCGCACGGGGTGGGGGAGGGCCGAGCTGGGGAGGCTCAAGCCAGGCTGACCGTGAACTTGAGAGACAGCGGCTTTGGCAGAGTGCAACCAGGCAGGCCAGGGAAGGGGCTAACGGGGTCACCGTGTGGGGGGAGCAGGAGCAGGACCCAGGGATCCGGGGGTCAGGCCGGCCGGGCCGGGAGTGGGCGGGCGGCTCAGACTGCCCGTTAGTGCTTGTAGCTCTTCCGGCTGGAGGACGTGGTGGACACGAACTTGACGCTGGAGCCGCTCCCCCCGTGGCCCCGGCTGCTGCTCGCACTGAAGCTGGAGCCCCCCAGGCCGGCGCCCAGGCCGAGCCCACCGCTGGTGGAGAAGGAGTAGCCGCTGCCCCCTCCGAGACCCAGGTTTCCACCTCCGAGGCTGCTGCCACCACCGTAGCCGCTGGTGACAGTGGAGGAGACCACGGCTGCGGGAGGAGAGAGACGCAGAATCAGCGGCGTCCGGCAGGCCCCGGGGACCGCGGGGCGGTCAGCAGCCGCCCGCAGGGAGGGCATCGTCTCCTGCCTCGTCTGCCCTGAGCTGTGGCGCTTCGGCTGGGATTCCCTCCGCCTCTCTTCTGCTACTTGGTGCCTCTCTCTTCCTTCCAGAACTCACCGGCAACACCTCCCTTCTGGGGAGCTCCTGAGTCCTCCTGCCTTTGGCTGGACCCCGCTGGAGGGGTCTCCCCCTGCAGCCCAGACTCCTGCACCCCCTCCTCCCCTGCAGCCCAGACTCCTGCACCCC